TTCGTTTCGCCGGTAATTGTCATCATACGGCACGGAAGAACCAACAAAGAGAAGAGGGCACACGTGAGTGAGCTGAAGTGCCAAGACATGGGATCACTGGCGAAGGAGGAATAGAACGGCAACACTAAACCGGCACAAGTGCACAAGAGGACTGCACAGTGGAAAACGGGACATGTCCAGTAAAGGGAGCCTTAACAGGTCCAGTCACGGAACAGTAACGGGGCATATCCAGTAGCGGGAGATGGATATGCTATAAAAGGCGGCGGCTGGGAGGAGCACGGTCTATTCAAAAAATTCTAATCAACGGAGCAACATGTCCAACAAGTCCGAAGCAACAATGATCGTCTCGTCTGACGAGAGCGATCTGGAAATCGTCGGCGACCCCACCTGGAACGGAAGAAGGACGAGAACGGAGTGGGCGATACAACGGGCAGCAGGAGGACGGAGGCAAATACCAGTCGGTCGCGCCACTGTGGAGGAGCGGCGCCGGAGCGAGGTGCTGGAGCTCCGAAGGAGATCCGAGAGGTGCCGCCAGCGAAAGGAGGCGATGGTCACCATCTCGGAGATGGCGAGGAAGAGGGCCCAAAGAGCACAGGAGATGTGCGAGGAGATCGACAGGGAGTGGAGAGACATCAGGAGAGATGGACGGGAGGGAGCCATGAGGAGGGCGATGTCAAGGAGGATGCGGCTGCGACGGGCAAGGCGGCTGGTCGCGAAAAGGAGGGAAGCCACAAAGAGGACCCGGCCAGCAACGCGGTGGCCCGCGGTGCCACCAACACCACGCCCTCGATCGGAACGACCGGAGGAAAGGGAGGGGGCAACGGCCGCCAGAAAGAGGCAGCAGGAGTCAACGTGGCCTGCGGCACCACCTACGCCAGGCCCAAGGAAGGAGGACAAGGAGGAGGAGCCGTGGACGAAGGGGCCGTGGGTGTGGCCAACACCGAAGAAGCCGGCGCTGGGCCGGCAGCACTCGTGCCCGGAGGAGCGGCCAACGAGGCCGGTGCTGATGAGGTCAGCGTCGGATGGAGGCATCAAGGAGTTCCCAGAAGCAGACTGGCCGCCGGAGCTCTGTGTGAAGGTGGCGGCGGAGGTGGAGAGGAGGCGCGGACGCACCGGATGGTGGTGTGTCATGGCGCAGGTTGGAGCCATATGGTTCCGAGTGCGAGGAGGAGCCAACGGCGTAAAGATACTGAGGAAAGTTTAAAAAGTAAAAGTCAAGGAAAAATTTATAAACAAAAAAAAAAAAAAAACCAATTAATTTAAAAAAAAACAAGAAAGCAAAGTTAATATACCCTTGCAGCTAAAACCGGATATATATCGACATCGGATATAGTTGGCCGATCCTTATGATTACATCATAATAAAACCAATTAATTACAATAAAAAATCTAAAAAAAAGTCCCAAGCTTCTATCTTCAAAAATACGAAAGTTGATATTTCTACCAAAAACCATTTCCGATCGTACAGTTATATGTCAGCTATAAGATATAGTCAACCGATCTTTATGAAATTTGGTAGATCGGATTAACTGACCAAAAATAGAATGTGTACCAAGTGCCAGCTTTTTATCATCAAAAACACGAAAGTTGGGTCATTTCCGATCGTTCAGTTATATGGCAGCTATAGGATATAGTCGGCCGATCCTTATGAAATTTGGCATGTCGTAATATTTTGCCAAAAATAGCTCATGTCAAATTTGAACTCTCTAACTCTAAAACCATCAAAGTTATACCATTTCCGATCAATCAGTTATGTGGCAGCTATAGGATATAGTCGGCCGATCCCGGCCGTTCCGACTTATATACTGCGTGCAAAGGATAGAAGGGTGTGTGCAAAGTTTCAAGACGATAGCTTTAAAACTGAGAGACTAGTTCGCGTAGAAACAGACAGACAGACGGACAGACGGACATGCTCATATCAACTCAGGAGGTGATCCTGATCAAGAATATACATACTTTATAGGGTCGGAGATGTCTCCTTCACTGCGTTGCACACTTTTGGACAAAATTATAATACCCTCTGCAAGGGTATAAAAAAAAGAAAAAACAACAAAACAAAAAAAAACATGGGATAGGGTACATAGGCTAGGTGCTCTAAAAGGGTCCCAGGGGAGCGCACAGTCGTTTTCCGAAGGAGGTGGGAAGTGGATGGGTATCCACACCAAAATAAGAGGGTAACCGAGAAGAGGGTAACCGAGAATGTCATTTTTTTTTGGCGCCCATGTTCAGCACAGCGCATCAACTTCGATGTCCAAACGGCTCTGTCGTTTCCCGAAGAAGGGGGGAAGTGTGAGGAGATTTAGTCTCCCCACACGCTAAGACAGATAGCCGGGGGCAAAGGGGGGGGCCGAGGAGACGGAAAAAGGGGGTCATCAACCCGGGCAGCCCAAGGGAACGTCGCCAGGGTCAGTACGGGGGTGGGGGGAAAGGTGAAAGCCAATTACCGTGGGTTCCGGCGAAGAGATACCCGTGGGAGGACGGAATCTACGTGGAACGTAACGGTGGCAGGTGAGAGGGTAAACGGCGCCACCCGGGGGAAGAAGGAATCGACGTGGAACGTAACGGGTCCCGGGGCAACGTTGGGAAAGTAGTCCAGTGGGGGAATCAGCACGATGCATAGGGGGGTTGCGACGAAGAGTGCAACGGGCCCTGGAAGCCCACCGGTGCACCACGTACCAGCAGCAGAGATCCGGGACCGGGGGAGACGAGGGGCCACGGACAGCGACCCGCCAACGGGAAAGTGGCGTGATTCTGGAAGCAGGATTAACGGCAGGAGCAGAATCCAGGAGGATTAACGGGCGCTCCAGTCAGTATAAAAGGAGGCCCATTGGAGCGGCTCGAGACGAGTCTTTTAGGAAGCTTGTAGCGTTGAGTTGGAGGACCGCCTGTGGAGAGTCCGCCATTCAAGTGTTAGAGCGTTTCTAAAAAGGATTCGGTTTTGTTTGAGTTGAAGGACCGCCTTTGGAGAGTCCGGCAGCCAAGCGCAAGGAGAGCGAATAAGACAATACGGAAAGGATCCATTGCTGGACCTTCCTCTGGAAACCCAGGGTCGTGTAGTCGAGTTGGTTCATTCCCGAACACGGCAGGTAGCCTTGCAAGGAAGTGAGGAAAGGATAAGTCTGGCGTATGCCTTACCGACTCCTGAAATCATAACCAACAGGCGTGGTCCTGCGAAACAAGGAGGCCTACTTGGGATCACACGCCCGGTAACCACGAGACGTACAGAACAAGGATCCGTTGCTGGACGGTTTCCTCTACAAGCCCGAGGCGTCAGAGTCGAGTTGAGCCATTCCCAAACACGGCAGGTAGCCTTGCAAGGAAGTGAAGAAAGGATAAGTCTGGCGTACGCCTTACCGACTCCTGGAATCGCAACCAACAGGCGTGGTCCTGCGAAACACGGATCGGCCGACTCAAGAACTCGCGTCCAAGTCACAGACCAAGTGAGAACACCCTGGTCACCAGCCCCGCCACTACAAACTCGGGTCCGCCGGCGCGTATGCACGGTGTCCCGGTGTAGCGGGAGCGCGACAATACGATCAGGCACACGGCGGCTTCCAAACCTGGCACCGGAGCGTATGCACGGTGTCCCGGTGTAGCGGAGACGTCACACGGCAACTTCCAAACCTGGCGCCGGAGCGTATGCACGGTGTCCCGGTGTTGCGAAGGCGGCAGTCAGCAAACAAACTCCCAAACCTGGCACCGGAGCGTATGCACGGTGTCCCGGTGTAGTGGAGGCGACCGACCGCAGCCAACCGTCAGATCAGTCGTAGTCGACCCAAGGGGGTGTTTTCTCAAGGCCAAAGGGCAGAGGGTAGCGGAATCGCTGGCAGCGTGGTGACAGGATTACCATCGGCGACGGAGTAACGGCGGCGACGGAGCAGCGGAACGGAAGGAGCAACGAGTAAAAGAGAAAGAAAGCCTTTTGTAGTGTAAAGTGGTCTCAAAATAAAAAGTGTGGAAACTTCAAGCTATTTGTATTACATTCTGGGCTTGGGCAATCACGTCGAATCTATAAATTCGGTGGAACGGATCCGAGAAACTCTGTGTGCTAGCCGCGGCAAATTGTGGCGAGCGGAAGCAGAAAAGACAGTTCGTTACAGTACTTTATTATTATTATTTTTAATTTCAGTCTTTTACTGTTGTTGTAAAAATAACTATGTGTTGTAGGGGGGCGTTGTTGTCGCAAAAGGTTCGGAAATTAAGGATGAAATAAGAAGTCGGGGGCATCTTCGGGGCGAGACGTCTTCGACAAGCAACGAGCGAGAGAGAGTGCACAGAGGGGCGAGTGCGGATGCGCTCTTCAGCGCGGATGCGCTCTATATATTCTATATATAGAATATATATAGAATATATATTCCCAAGGGGGATTATATTCTAATATAATCAATTCAAATCTAAAAAAAGTTCCGAACTTTTATCTTCTTGAAGATGTTGGTACTTTTAGCAAAAACCATTTCCAATCGTTCAGTTATATGACAGCTATAAGATAAAGTCGGCCGATCGTTATAAAATTTACAATCGGCCGATCGCGGCCGTTCCGACTTTTATACTGCGTGTAAAGGAAAAAAGAGTGTGTGCAAAGTTGCAATACGATAGCTTTAAAACTGAGAGACTAGTTTTGCGTATAAACTGTAGACGGACAGACGGACATGCTTATATCAACTCAGGAGGTGATCCTGACCCTTTAAAGGGTTAGAGATGTCTTATTCACTGCGTTGCACACGTTTGACCAAAATTATAATACCCTCTGCAAGGGTATAAATATCTGAGGTAGCAGCTAAGGATCAGCTAAGGTAACTAAGGTAGTTTCGGAAAAGCAATTTCGGAACAATTTATTGCGCTAAGTAGGAACTTCGCCCTATGCAAACTTAGACTTCTAAGTTAAATTTAAATTTAAACAAATCCAATCAAAATCCTATTTATCCAAATCCAATTTACATATAATATTTTGCATAAATATTAACACTGCCAAAATTGATGATGATAACACTTTATTTTAAGAGCAAAACTGCTACACGACGCTTGGAATCTCGCCTATGCTGGAGAACTTCATTTTTCTGCTGCGCTCAATATGACATTATTTTTAAAAAATGAACGGGATCACATTGTATGGAGTCCAGTGTTTACATTTTTAGACCAAATAGGTCGGCGCATTGATATTCCGTCAGTAGTAGAAAAGTTTGAGGTATATATGTCTAAATACAAATCTTGCTTTCACCGTTTATGTTTTTTTGTTGGTTAGTTGTATACAATAGATCTTTTGGCCCCATTGTATGAAGACCTCATCAAAGAAAATAAAAACGATGATTTTACGAATGAAAATTTTCGTAAATTGACAAAGAGCTTTTTGTGTCGAGCAGGGTATTTACAATGCATCCAAGAAGCTCATAGAGCTTTTGCAATGTGGATTAATATATCAAATCTTAGCATTCCAAATTCGTAAGTAATTAATAAAAAATGTATTTTTCACTATATTATTGAACCTTTTTTCAGCCTACCGAAAGATTACATATGCCCCGTGTTCAAATGGGGTTCTATGAACGAATGGATTTTGGGATTAGAACGAATAATGCTTTTTACAAAATCACATATTCAAAGTGATCGAACCTTCTTATTGAAAATGCTTGCTGGTTGTCCATCTCAAACAGAAAAAATTCATTACCTACTTGAAGTTACTATGATAAGAAACATTTCTTATATAAAAGAAAGTGACCTTTTTCTAATTTTCAATATGCTAGGTACAGAAACTATTGGATATTCGACCCTTTTAAATTTTATAGTGGAAAATTGGGACATCGTGTACCAAAAGTAAGTAAAATCATTTTATTTGGTAAAGATTTATTTTATTTTTGAGATAATTTAAAGTTAACTTTTTGGAGGATGTATGCATTTATTGAGTTTCTTTTTTTTTTATTTTCCAACTTTTAACAATATTAACGAGTGGCAGTATTGACACTGCAACGTGGCTTTGATGATAAAAACTGGGTCTTTTGGCAACCACGAATCCAACTGATTGGATGAACTGAAAAAAACTGTCGCTATTGCCGGAAATAGGATATTTAAAAAAATAAAACATTAAACCATTTTAAAACATATAAAGTTTTTACAGGGCCTTGAATTTTTTTTTTTTTTTTTTTATACCGCGATTTTGTGGTATAAAATAAAAATTACTTGACCTTTTTCAATTATCCCGGTTCGGGCGATAGTGATACATGTGCTTAAGATAAACCGTTCGAACAAATTTTGCCGTACTCATTTAAAGTTATGTGCCGTACCCGTATGGATTCGGGTTAAATTTTAAAGGTATGGATTCGAAAAAAACAACAGCAACGATTACAACAACAATCTACAAACATAAACATTTTTGAAAACTCCCAAGCGGCGACTTTCAGATAAAGCGTTAGCTAAGCCCGAAGAATAATCTGGTAGGCAACAAAAAAAATTGAAGCCCCGTCCAGGAGATCGACGATGAAGATCGAAGAACAGGCTGTACTGGCGAACTCAGGGCTCAAACTCAAAAACACTCAAGCCACTTCTACTTATATCAGTAAGAAATCTCGAACGCCCTGATAAGAAAAAACTGTTCAAATATATATAAAGGGTGTTTATTTTTAGAGGTATAAATCTTTAAGTTGGCATTACTGTTCAAAAAAGCGACCGATTTAATAGCTGTTAGGTGATTTATTCTCAGTTTGGCAATTCATCGGATTAGACTGGTAAATGATTACTCATACCTCATGATTAGACTCATGAGTCTGAATAATGCTTGAAAATAGTGCAATTTTATTTAAAAAAACAAGAAAGGAAAGCTTAATTCGGCCGGAGCCGAAATTGATATACCCTTGCAGTTAAAACCGGATATATATCGCAAACATTGGATATAGTTGGCCGATCCTTATGAGAATATCATAATAAAACCAATTATTGAAAACAATAAAACCAATTTTATTGTAAATTGTCTAAAAAAAAGTCCCAAGCTTCTATCTTCAAAAATACCAAAGTTGGTACTTCAACCAAATACCATTTTTGATCGTTCAGTTTTTTGGCCGCTAAAAGATATAGTCAACCGATCGTTATGAAATTTGGTAGGTTGGATCAACTAAAAAATAGAATCTGTACTAAGTTCCAGCTTTCTATCTTCAAAAACAGGAAAATTGGGTCATTTCCGATCGTTCAGTTATACGGCAGCTATAGGATATAGTGGGCCGATCCTTATGAAATTTGGCATGTCGTATTATTTTGCCAAAAATAGCTCTCGTGTAAAAACTCTCTAACTCTAAAAACACCTAAGTTATACCATTTCCAATCAATCGGTTAAATGGCCGATCCCCGCCAGCCGATCCGACTTATATACTGCGTGCAAAGGAAAGAAAGGTGTGTGCAAAGTTTCAAGTCGATAGCTTTAAAACTGAGAGACTAGTTTGCGTAGAAACAGACAGACGGACATGCTCACTGCCTTGCTCACTTTTGGAAAAATTATAATACCCTCTGAAAGGGTATAATAATGGTGCTGTGCGGAATACGTATCGCGCACTATATCTATTTTATCGTCGACAAAATCGTCCATCAGTGCATTTAACTCGATTAACTATGGAACGTATCCGCACTACGTTTACTCTTATTGATAACAAGCATTCCCAGATACGCCGTAAGGGGCGTACAGAAGAAGTTATTGCTACTGTAGAGAGTAGCATTGAGGAAGACGTAAATGAGTCCATCCGCCATCGAGCACAAGAATTGAATGCACTTTATGGAACATTCTTGGAATGGCATGCTTACAAAATCCAATTCGTGCAAAAATTTAAGATGGTCGATCATCAAGCAAGGCCATTGTCATTGTTCCCGATTTTCAATAGCGAGTTTTGTTTAGTAATGAAGCGTTCTTCTGGTTGAATGGCTACAAAACTGCCGCATTTTGAGTGAAGCTAACTCAAGTGTATGTCAAAACCCCGTTACATCTAGAAAAACGGACTGTTTGGTGCGCTTTATGAGCTGGTGGATCTATTGGTCCGTAGTTCAAAAACGTTGAAGGCCAGAACGTTACAGTCAATGCTAATCGGTGAAGAGCCATGATTACTAACTTTTTCATTGATGAACTGAGCCGCCATGATTTGCAGGAGCTGCACTTCCAACAAGACGGCGCAAAATGTTACACAGATCTGGCCACAATCGATTTATTGAACGACACGTTCGGAGACCTCCAAAATTGGCCTCCAAAATCTTGTGATTTAATACCGCTAGACTATTTTCTGTGGTATTTTTCTACTACTTTACATAGTGTTTTTCTACTACATACTTTACATTGGTCTATTCGGATAAGCCACAAGCGCTTGACCATTTGAAAGACAACATTCCCCGTGTTAATTTTGATATACGGCGAAAAAATGTTGGAAAAAGTCATCAAAAATTGGACGTCTAGATTGGACTCCATCCGAGCCAGCCGTGGCGGTCATAAGCCCGAAATCATATTTAAATAAAAAATGCCACATAATGGCATTTTATATGTGTAATGCCAGATATACAAGCCGGTAAACATCTTTTGAATAAAAAAAATCGAAAATGGCAATCAAATAATCCACAGTTTTTTCATTGAAATTTAAGGGGTTATATACCTTTTTGAGCGAACAAATTGAGGGAACTTTGGATTTTTATTTCGGGTGTATAGCAATTATTTTATGACACTGAAGTTATTTTTTATTGAAAGTACATGCTTTTATTAAAACAATAAGCGTTTGTTCTTAAAAAAATATAAACAATTTACAAAGTTATGGCAATTCTCTCGGAACCCTTTTTTTTATAGCGGCTTGCGGTGACCACGATAGCAGTCCAGCCGGTCAACCAAAATCCAAAAACCAAAAATTTTTTATTAGTATAATATTATATCCAGTTCGTGAACGATTAGTTTCAAGAATATTTGGTTTTTTCTGCATACAGTAAACATTTTTCCAAAAAATTGATGTTTTCAGTTCTAAAAATTTTATTAAAAAATTTTTATCTGCGAAATCAAAATGAAAGCAAAAAAACTGAATCGTTCACGAACTCGGCACAATCATTACGAATAATTTAAAAAAAAATTGAAGAAGATCGATCAAATAGTTCTTGTGTAATCGTGGTCACAGCGAAGGCACTTTTGGAAAAACACGACTTTGAGATAATCGCATTCAAAGTTGCTTGACGCTGTCCGCAGCCGTGGAGAACCGCGCCTCAAAACACTGTTTTCCTATCGAACTATTATTCGGATCTCCATGAAACTTTGGGAAAATATTCTCTAGGGGATATACTTTAGGATTCAGCAAAAAAAAATTTTTCGTTTTTTTGAAGAAAAAAAAGGTATATAACCCCTTAATGTTCTATGCCTCTAAAAAACAGCCTTTATAAAGAATTCTCAAAAATAAATTATACATTTTATATAAAATATGTTCACATTTTTAATTCTTTGGAGTGTCTTTGAAGTCTGCGAAATCAATCAATATTCCGTTTACTACTTTTTTTCATTTTTGTAGAGACTACCACAAAGTCTCTATATACATGGAGCTGAATAAGGAACAACGTTCCATCAAATGCTGCGAGATGCTCATGTGGTCTTCTAAATACATTTAACTTGTGTGGGTGATTTTTAACGAGAACATTTGAAAAATGAATTTTCAGTCCCATTGCTTGGGTTGCTATTGTCTCCAAAAATGCACTTTACTTTACTTTCATACCATACTTTGGCTCTCGCGGATGGCTTACTGAAATCCAATAATTTTCCCTTGCAGAGACAAAAATAAAGCGGTCTTACATAATAACATAATTAAGAAACACGAGGTTTGCATGAGGCTTGGGATCAACTCCCCTTTTTACTCTCCTAAAGTCTAAAGTAGCTCTCAAGGATTGGAGTTCTGCTCTCTGCCATGTTGCTGCTACAGATCCGTTGGAGATTAAGTTCTTTTACAGTTTTATAATGTAAAACAATAAATGAGTTTTGAAGACATTTTGTTAATTTTGTAGAATTTTTAAGTTTACTACAATTTGTTCCTCTGCGAACTAAACTTTTAAAATCTTTTGAAATTTTCACAAACATATATATATTATATAGAAACCCTTAATTTAAAATATGTCGATATGCATATGTCGAACTACAATGGCTAAGGAACAGACGGCTAAAGTTTCTAGTCCTTCTATTATGAATGTTAAAATTTAAGCGTGTTAGTAAATTCTGGCTATCTACATCCCCATTAATTCGGTTACGCAGAAAAACTACACAAAACATTTTCCTACGATTTGTTAAGCTAGGTCAGTTAATTATTAAGAGTCTACTATTGTAAGATGGAAGGTGAAGATTTGCATACCAGTTTAGACCTCTAAGAGAAAAAGTTAAGAAATTCTTTTGTACGGGGGGACTGTTTTTCACATATTGGGGACTCCAGACACATGAACCGTATTCCAGTATAAGACGGACCAAAGAGATGAATAATGTTTTGGTTATATACGGATCATTAAATTCTTTTGACCTCCTTTTGATATAACCAAGGACTCCTTTAGCCTTATTAACCATTAAAGAAATATGGCCGGAAAATGTAAGTTTAATATCTAATAGGACGCCGAGATCATTAACCTGAGCTAATTTCTGTAAGGCAATCTCATAAAAAGTATATGAAAGTATATGAAGAGGGCAAGAACGATAAAAAGACATAAGCTTGCATTTTGATCCATCAAGTTTTAAATTGTTAGCCAAACACCATTTTTGAAAGTTATCAAGTTCAGACTGAAGACTCCATTGGGCAGAGATGGATTTGTACTGCAGACAAAGCTTTTGCATCATCTGC